GAAACTATTTGAAATTAGTTTCGCTTGTAATATTATCTTTAAAGGTTTCGTAAAGCCATTCTTATCGTTATATACTGCAGCGCATATGTTCACATATGATCTACGAAAAAAATATACACATATGCACATATGTGCACATCACATTTTCAGTCCACTCTAGACTCGACTAAAAGTCAACTCGGGGTCAGAAAATCCGAGTCATTTAATACCCTAGTCTTATGGTTAGTTTTAGGATATGTTTAGGTGTATCAAAAAAGTAAGTTCAAAAGTATCAAAAATGTAAGATTTGCTTTACGGACAGTAAGGACAGTCAAATTCACGTGATATTACTAAAACCACTGTCCCTAACTAAAATTACTAATGATGTATAAACCCAAATTTGATAATGATCATTTCAATTGAATAAAAAAATTCTTTTTAAGTACTTCTTATTCTCATGATTTTTTCCAATCAAATCTATTAAAAAATAAAGTTGTGGAAAAATCTTTCGAATATTTATATTTTTTTTAAAAATTAATTCAAAATAATTCCAGTATTTAAAAAATTTCTTAGAGACAAGTTTTAGATCGCAGGTAGTTTAATTCATAATTCGAGAAAACGAAGGTATTTCGACGTTAAAATAAAAAAAAAAGGAATAGCATGTAACTAAGATCTGGTGCTTTGTGAAAGAAGCATCAAATGACCTCAAATAACGTTTATGCAAAGAACTGAATAAAAGGTTAAATTAATCACGTTTTATATTGTTTAAAATATAAGTTACATTTTACTAAATTCTAATTATTGTCATTCTAAAATACAATATAAAAACAATACAGTTAATTTAATTTAAATGAATACAAAATTGGTCTACTAACCATATTCATTTAGACAGGTTTGACTGTATCGTTATCTGATCGAAATGGGTTAATACTAAGAAAGGTCAAGTGTAATAGATTCGAAAATTTTTGGGTTTAAATTCCCAATTTCAATGTTATAAACATAGTGCAGGTGGTAAATTTTTTTATAATTAGCGATGGCGTAGTGGTAGCAATGACTCTTGAACAAGCCAATCTACACCAATAAAATTATATTTGTCGGATTTATTAGTGTGATCTTTAATAAACCAACTTTTTTTTTATTTTTTATATTTTTTAGAGCCTAACGGAGGACTCAATTTCCATGCAAAATGGTCGTTTTTGATGCATTTTTAATAAAAACATCAAAAATGTAATTTTGAATTTTTTTGTCGATCATCGTCTCAAAATACAATACAAAAATTTTTACAGTCACGTTTTTGATAGGCGTTACTTTAAATAGCACACTTAAAAATATAATTTTATGTAGGTTAGCTTGTTCAAGAGTATTTGTAATTAGACTTGCACACCCCAATCCTCGGTCAAGCTTTGCTTAGCCTCATTGCTAGCATTACAAATAGTTGTAAAAATTTGTTGTTACGTATGAGTATGATCTTTAGCGATCAAATTTATTACAGATAAGGCCCAAAAACGAAAATAATTACAAATAAGGCCCAAAAACGAAAATAATTACAAATAAGGGCCCAAAATAAAAATAATTACAAATAAAGGCTCAATATTTGAAAATTATTACAAACAAGGGCACAAATATACCGTCAAAAATTGCTACGTAGCTGATTTAAACGTAACGATATCATGATTAATTGTCTCATTTCGTGATTAAATAGGTGTCTTGGAGTTATAATTCATTATTCAGAATTAAAAAAAAATCCGACCGACTAACCGGATTTTTGAAATTCATGTAATGCAAAACGAAAAATTAACTTTGGCCTAATAGCTTTACTTCTCCAAGCCACCATGTATAATGCTTCGACCCCACTTCAGAATGAACACGATTTATAATATCATGAGGTCGAAGTACTACGTACTATATTTTTAACTAACGGCGCAGTAAACTTTACATTTGTTATTTTTTATCGAATTATTAATTGATTATTATTACGTTTCTTATACGTTAACAATTAATGACTATACATATGAGCGAAAATTTTTGATGGAAGTGTTGTGATTACGTATTAAAATTAAGTGATATACGTAACGATTTATTAATTATTTATAAATAATTTATACGTAAATATTACGTATGCAGCTTCGTAAGCAATTTACTACTAAGAAAAGCAATTGGCCAATTAAATACAATGATGATTTATAATTATTATGCGGTTTCATAACCGGTTTCATAAGTGATGACCGCATATCGATATCAATTCTATTTTACCGGAGATTATACAATATCACTTAAATGATAGGTAGATAGGTCATGTCACAAAAAATCGGCAGTGACGTGATATACGAGTCACTCTGACTATATTTTTATTAATTTTATACATATGATTACTGGATTATTCGGGATCTAAAAAAGTTAATAAAAACGGATCCCGAATTAAAAAATTAATACGTAGCACGAATACAGAAATGTAGCTAGAGTGGCTTTTATATCACGTCACTGCCGATTTTTTGACATTACTTAAAAGATAGGATTAAATGTTATCATTAGTTTTTAATAATCATCAAATCGAAAAAATCCAATCATCGAAGCGGGGCTTAAATCATAGGTTCTTAAGCGCATAATTATTTTGGATCCTTATTTGTAATAATTTTCAAATATCAGGCCTTTATTTGTAATTATTTTCATTTTGGGCCACTTATTTGTAATTATTTTCGATTTTGGACCCTTATCTGTAAATTCCTTTTCTTTTTTTTTTTTTATATCAATTCTATTAATAACAATTAGATTTTAGACAAGTGAATTTTCGTATAGCAGATAAACGTGAAAAATGCAATCTTGAACTGAATAAATATTAAGGAACTAATTTATTTTTCATACTGTATGTTAAAACTGGCTAAACTAGTTAAACCCTGCTTTAACATATGAAAAATAAAGCCGGGTTATACCCATTACGAAGTTTCCAATTTTTCTAAGCATTCTATTTCTAATTAAAAAAAATTTTGTGTTTATTTTTTTTATAAAAAGAAATTCATATGATGATAATAAAAAATTTGTAATAGTTTAACTATCAGGTATTTGCTTATACAAGGTATATAGTTACATGAAGCCCCCCAGCAGATCATTCATGTAAGCATTCCCGTTTTTGTTAGCATTCTGTGGTGGAGTAGAATTATTTGCGTTACTCAATGGAAGATTGGGAGAACTATAATTTCCTAAAAAAGATTGGGGCAACGTGTTTGGTTTCAAATTTGGACTGTTATATAATGATAAAATAGATGACTTCAAAGTGTCATGGTTAGATGTAGAAGTTGGTGTTGTTTGGGGATTAGAATTTCCCTGAAGGGGATTAGAAGGTACATTGCTTGTAAGAGGTGATTGACCTATCGCAAATAGGTCAGCCCCTTTAAGCTGCGATGCTGATGAAGGATTATTTGATGGAACGTTGGATATAGATGAAGATGCGAAAATATCCAATATATTGTTTTCATTTGTTTTTGAAGGTAGTGAGGATTTCTCCGAAATTTGAGATTCATTGACAATTTTGGTTGAAGAT